GCTATATATTCCCATGTCGGTCTTATTTACGTAAGGAGGAACTTATGCGATGCTATTATGCGCGATAATGTATGTGAGTGCGCGATGCTGTTATGCTTCTCAAACAATCGTAGTATATACTATTTACTAGAGACAGAATTTATCAAACAGTATCGGCCCGCATCAGGGACTCTTATGCGAGCCTTATATGCTAAACTAACCAGTGAGTTTCAGCGATGAACGAAGGATTCATGAACTACTTTGACCATTCGGAATCCAACCAGGATATAGAAATCAGCATGAATTATCCAAATTTGCGCACAATATATGTATTGTTTAATACATGCACTTTCGAAGTCATCATACTACATCATTATATAGAAGTGCTGAAGTATCACGCATCTTGCAAGGTGCATATATAGAAGGTACATGCAGTAGGTTTGAGGACACCATTGCGCATCTTCCCTTAAAGGTATATAATAGATACATGTCCCATAAGTAGAAATAGCCTACTATTAGATGTTGCAAAGACATGCCGCGACAAAAGTGGTATAAAACACTGTGATATATATTGTCTTGGGATCAGATTTCTTTTATCTGGTATCTTTGCTGTGAAAAGTTCATGAAAGTTGCAGGGACTATGAACAGTGAAGATATTGATCTCACTGAGAATACAGATAGACTCAGAAAAGTTTGTCTGATTTATATGCCCTTATCTTGAGGTATCTTAACTACTTCTATTGTGAAATCCATAAGAGATTGCAGGGCTCCATGACTGCTAAAAGGCGAAGACAAGAATCTCGCGTGAAATACATACAAACTCAAAAACAAATGCTACATTTCCTATCAGCAACATTATTATTTTGAACTGATTTAACATGATCTTGTTACAATCATTATCTCCATGATATAATGTTATTATTCTGTGAGATCTATGGAAATTACAGGTTTCACCAAACAGAAGAAAAGTCCTCCAAGTTAAAGCTTAATGAAGAAAATAACAGGATCCCTCATAAGGATCCTCCAAACAATAGGATCCCTCACAAGGATCCTCCAAATAACAGGATCCCTCACAAGGACCCTCCAACCAACAAGATCCCTCATAAGGACCCTCCAACCAACAGGATCCCTTACAAAGATCCTCCAAATAACAGGGTCCCTCATACGGATCCTCCAACTTAACAGGATCCCCCAAAAGGATCCTTCAACCTACAGGATTTCCCTAAAGGATCCTCCAATCAAAAAGAATGAAGGGAAAGTAACACCTTAACTGGTTAAAACTTCCTCCAAAGCGCGCGACACTTATAGCTACATATTCAGCAACATCAAGCCCCAAAACATGCACAAGGTATGCCAACCTTATGAACTACGAATTATGAATTGTATCAAAATGCAGGATCCAAATATATAGCTCTCAAGCACCCATACAAAGTACAGACCATAGTTCCAGATAAAGGAACAAGCGCAATGAATTTTCCAGGTTGATAAACAAACAAATCATCTCGCAGACTTATACATCTCGCTCCTTATGCCTAAGGGTGTTCATCAACCGATCCAAATCGATTTAAACCGCGGTGAACGAACCGAAAAACTGATAACCGAATAAATCGAAAACCGAAAAACTGAAAACCGATTAAAAACCGCAAATTTTAATTGGATTGGATTGGTTTTTGGATGAGTTCATGAAAACCGATCCAATATATTAATTCCCCTCTACCTATTTGGGTCTTTCCCTAATCATAGCCTAAAAATTTCTAAACCCAAGACCCGTTAACCCATCAACTAAACCCAAGAAAAAATCTAATCACATCTCATCAACAAAATTTTATCTTTGTAGAGCTTCATATCTCATTGCAAAAAAAAAAAAAAAATTATATTATAGTTTACTAATGCTTTTATATTTCAATTTTTTTTTTTACAAATTCAATATATGCAAAATATGTTATTTGCATAATAATCATGAAATAAATTTTAGGATTTTCAAAAAACTGAAAACCGATCCAATCCAAACCGAAAAAAATTGGATTGGATCAGATCAGATTTGTAAAAAAAAAAAACCGAATGGATGATTGTATGATCAAACCGAAGGAATTGGATCGGATGATTTTTGCTTCCAAAATCGATCCAATCCAGACCGCGAACACCCCTACTCATGCCTTCGGCATAAGCAACGAGCTGGGGGGCTTCTAATCTGGATAATTATTATACAAATACAAGGCTCAAACTAAAAGCCTTCACAATGAAGCGAAGCCTTAGTCCAAGAAGGCTGCAAGCTCCATAATATTAAAAGCTCCATGACAGCCAACAAGCTGCACAATATTAAAGGCTATCACAGCAAGCAGCACAACCTTAAAGACTCCATGACAGCAAGCTCCTCAACATTAAACATGGCAGCTCTATTACTTTGCCTCCAAGAACAAAGCAAACCTAATCACTAAGTAACATCTCCCCAAGCTGCTCATCGCTGCACTATAAATACATGTATCAACACTAAGGTATATTATCTTCTTCTACATAATAACACCTGCTTCAACCATAACTGACTTGAGCGTCAGAGTGTCTTGCAAGTACACCCCCATCGCGTTCCATAGAAGACCCATGGAATAAAGCGGCCCAACTGCAAGATGCTCTGACCTAAGACAGTTTCAGGCTGTGTAGAGGAAGATCACATGATCGGCCCAGTTGTAAAGATCTGTTCCGATCAAAACCCATATATATATATATATATAGATGACATCTCAATTATAAGATGACATCTCAATTATAAGGGATGTTATCCTTTTCAGGTTATTTCTCGCTTCTGAATACTATGAACGCATTTCATTATATTCATCTTGTTATAAAAATGTTATTATAGCAATTCAAAAACAGACATTAAAAGTAATTTGCAATCTGAATATGATGGTTTATTTTGGATAAAGAAAATACGAAGTTATAGACATTAAATTGTAAGGAAAACATCTCAGGCATAAGAGTGAAACTTTAATGATCTCGAAGTTTTTATTGAATAGGAACTACTCAAAGTTCGCAACAAACTGAAGAGGAGAATTGTGAAACAACGTTGTCCACAATCCACATATTATGTGCAGTTATGCAGAGCCTGCATTTGTGCAATTGTGTCTAAGTGCTTACAAAAAATTTTGAAGAAAAAAAAAAGTAAAATATTTTTTAGGTCCTCAACAAAAAATTATGGAATCCAATTTAATCCGTTAGAAAAAAAATCGAATCATAGTCCCTCTAAATTTCAAAATAGACCAAATTAATCGAAATCGTGGTCCCTTTGAAATTCAAAGAAGATCCACGTTGGTTCCTTAAAAAGAACTAACATGAATCTATTTTGAATTTTGAAGAGACCACGAGTTGAACTTTTTCCCCTAAAAAATTAAATTGGGTCCTCTCATATTTGTTGAGTATCCAAAAGTACTGTACTCTAAAAATAATAAGAGAATAGAAGTTACCCTCAAAAGTCCTTTCCCCGATCCTATTTAGAGGTTGTTTGTATGGACTTTTGAAAAAAGTCTTTTTTATTACTTTCTTATTTTAAAAATACTTTTTATAAAAGTTACAACTATTTAGATTTTTAAAAAAATATTTGTTTTTTAAAAAAAATATTTGACTTTTGACTTCTGCTTTTCTTAAAAGCTAAAATTTTTAGCTTCCGAAAAAAGTAGATTTTTTGCTTTTTTTTATGACTTCTGTTTTTTTTAAAAGCAGGCATCCAAACAGACTTTTTTCGAGAAGTGGTTTTTTTTCTTAAAAAAAACAGCTTTTGAAGAAGAAAAAAAAGCCAATCCAAACGGGCTCTTATTACTCCTTTTCTTTTATTGTTTATATTTTTTTATTTTTTAATATATTTAAAACACTTAAAAAAAAATCGGCAGCAATACCTCGTACCTAAGTGTATAGACATTAATAAACTTTTCTACATCTGTCACTGTCACTGGAGTTATGCACTAGTCAACCATTTGCGTTGCCACGAATCAGAAGAGACAAAGGGGAAGCTTGCTTCTTGATCGCTCAAATATTTCGGGGTTCACATTTGTTAATCAGAAAGGTCAAACATTTGAGAAGAAAATTAAGGGAACGTGTGGTAGTATGATTAGGAAGAAGAAATCAATTACAAAACGTGGCTTCAAAAAACTTTTTTAACTTTTGCACGTTTCCTTTTCTTCGGGTGATTTTTCTATGATCCATTGTGTACCACATATTTTGCTCAATTTAAACTAATCATGAAGCCATTTGCAAAGGTAAGTAATTGTATTTGTGGAGTATTTAAGATTCTGATCTGATTGTAATTAGAGGATTATTGAGTGGTTTTAGGGTCAACTAATTAAGTTGATTTATCTAGACATGATTCTAGTGATATAATTATGTCTTTACCCTCTCTCTCTCTATATATATATATATACATTGTGGAAGGAGGAAAAAATGAAAAAGTTAGCTTTTTAACCTTTACTCTCTTATTATTTTCTGCAATAAAAGATTGTCACTTTGAATTATATCATTTTCCTCTAAAATTTCCTTTATTATTTAATTATTTGTTCTAATTAAGGACTACCAAAAGAATAAAAATATTATTCATTTTCATATCTATATTCAGGTTATATCAATTTCTTTTCAATCAAAATCAGAAATTAAAACTTTCATAAATATAAAATACCGCTAATATATACCTTTTATCGCATAGACAGTGAAATAGTCCTACAATATTGTCCTAAAATTTAGGTACAACGTTCAAATATTGATCTGAAACGTTTGCTCTTCTTGCGCTTGAAAAAATTTGATTACCTCTTTCTTCAAGCATGTGCTGAGTTGTTACTTGTTGATTATTGGCATGCAGATATATCAAAGGTTGTCATATATTATCTACAATCCAGGCTATAAAACTTCCTATTCCTCCTGCCCCCTTCAAATTTCCCACAATATATCTGAATTATCTCAACAACTATTCCTCTGTTTAATTTCAACAAACAGAAAGAAAGAGTCAATCAAACATTGTGTGTCAATATTTCATTTGCAGCATGAATAAAGTTTGTTGGCCTTACTTTGATCCTGAGTTTGATACTCTCCCAGAAAGAATATATGGCCCTCCGTAAGTAATTCTTCAAACTCCTCAAATTAAAATTCAATTCGTTTGAGGGGTTTCTATGACATTCATTTGATGATGAGATAACACACATGTTAATTTGTTCTGTCCCTCAGTTGCCGAGTCTGCATTGACAATGAAAGCACGGAAGAATGCACCGTAGTGAAGGTACGTTACCTTACAATAACAAAATAAAACTTTCAAATTAGACTTTTGACTCTCTTCGGATGCAAAAATCAAACATATTTACACAAGTTTATTTTTATTGACAAATTATTTATTAATTTAATATTAATGAAAAACGTATAGGAATTTGCGCAATTTTGCATCAAAAGGGTCAAAAAGCCTTCTAATTAATAATGACCATGTGATTCTGCTATCTTAGCTAGGCCCTACTAGCTAACAATACCAATTTTTTTTTTTGAAAAATATGTCACCATTTTTATTTCAGGTAGATAGCGTTGACGAGCAGGGTCTACTTCTAGAAGTGGTGCAAGTTTTAACAGACATGAACCTTCAAATCTGCAAAAGCTACATTTCATCTGATGCTGGCTGGTTCATGGATGGTGCGCATTAGTTAAATCTTTTCAATTTTACATATTTAAATTAAAGTAATATATAAGGGTCTAAAAGCTCTTCTATTATCCATGTAAAAATATTTGCAGTGTTTCATGTTAGAGATGAATATGGCAACAAACTAACCGACCAGAAAGTCATCAACAACATACAGCAGGTATTGCAATATCTCAACAATATAAAAATTAACAACAATATTGAATTTTCATTATCCTGGGGCTAGCCTGCTAGGAAGTTTATTAGTTAGGAGATAAAATTATCTCCAATAACTTCAAAAATACATTGTTTTGGAATTTAGGAACAAAAAAATGTAAGGTATTTTGAAAATTTTACTTTCCTCTTATATTATGAAATTTACTAAAATATTGTGTATTTTTTTTTTTCAAACCCCAAAATGGTATCGGTTTAGAATTGTAGGAGATAATTTTATTTCATATTATATAATGAAACCTTAATCCCAAATTAGAAAATGAAAATAATGAGCTTTTTTCTTATTGATTTTTTTCGTGCTCTTTTTGCTTATAACATTGAAGTGAAAATAGGGTAGAGGTTAAATCTGAAAAGCATGCATGCAGGCCATAGGAAGATCAAGAGGGTCACCATCGCCACCAAACAACAATAATAATAATAATTGGTTCATGAACAAGACCTATTCCAAGAAGGTTTTTCCATTGGTTCACCCAAATGAGCAACACACAGCCATTGAGATGACCGGAGCAGACCGTCCCGGCTTGTTTTCCGAGATCTCCGCCGCCTTAGCCGACCTCCATTGCAACATTGTTGAAGCTCATGCATGGAGCCATAACGCCAGGTTAGCATGTGTTGCTTATATTTCAGACCAATCCACGGACACCGCCATTGATGACCCGTGCAGACTCGCCTCTATTGAGGACCACCTCACCACCGTGCTCCGCGCCACCACCAACCCCAATAGTGGCGGCACCAATCACCCTGATGTCAAGACTTGCGAGTTTCTTGGAGGTGAAGGCACCATGACCACCATGGAACGCCGGTTGCACCAGCTTATGCTTTCGGTAAGGGATTTTGAGTCTCCTTCGAAAGAGATGGGAAGGAAAAGGATGGTGACAATTGAAAGTTGTGACCAAAAGGGTTACTCAATTGTGAGCATTGAGTGCAAGGACCGTCCTAGGCTCATGTTTGATACTGTATGCACCTTAACAGATATGCAGTACGTGATTTTCCATGCTTCCATCAGTTCCCATGCAGGTTATGCATTTCAGGTTTGTATGCTTAAACCTTTTTCCCTCTCCTCTATATATAGTTTTATGGTGAACATGTGTTTTCAGGAAAATGTAGCTTCTTAGACTATGTTTTGATTGGAAACTACAGAATTCTTGCGGAATAGTGAACTTTGTGCCACTTTTACAAGACAAATTTATCTAAATGCCACGCCAAAAAACAATTTTACCAAACTGCCACAAGGGCAAGTTCGCCCAGAGCAGTAGCGAACTTGGTATGCTGATGTCAGAGTTCGTTTTTGACACAGGCGACCTTGGTTGAAATTAATGCCTCACCTGCCAGGCCATGTGACTTGCATGCAGCAGAGGTCGCCTGTGTCAGAAGCAAACTCTAACATCATCAGGAAGCTGACACATCAGCATACCAAGTTCGCTACTGTTCTGGACGAACTTGCCATCATGACACTTTGATAAAATTGTTTTTTGGCGTGGCATTTAGGTAAATTTGCCTTGGAACAGTGGCACAATGTTCACTGTTCCAATTCTTGCACCAAATTGTTTTTGAAAAACAAAAGAATTCTTATATAACCCAGTAGCAGTTGGTCATAGTATGAATGAATCGCCAACTTTCAAATCCTAAAATCGTTATGTATGTGAGCTTATCCTGGTGATCTAAAGACAAAACAAAAATTATAACAATTTTTTCATTTTACATACTCATTTCAAATGTTTCGTTGAGATGTGTCCAAGTTTTAAAATGTAATTTATGTTAATTTTCTTATAGGAGTATTTTATTCGGCATATAGACGGATATGCTTTGAATACAGCAGGCGAGAAGGAACGAGTAATAAAATGCTTAGAGGCAGCTATAGAACGCCGGGTTTGTGAGGTAAAGCATTGGCCTTTAAGTTTATTATTGCTATCACACCACTAATTTGGCCTTTAGGTAAAAGTTAATTAACCATGCATGCATATGTTTTTTGTTTAACATGACGTGCAGGGTGTTAGGCTAGAGTTGTGTGCAGACAACAGAGTTGGGTTGCTCTCTGACATAACTCGAGTACTCCGAGAAAATGGTCTTGCCGTTGTGCGAGCAGATGTTGAAACCCATGGAGAGAAATCCGTTAATGCTTTTTATGTCAGGGACATATCAGGGAACGAGGTTGATGTTGAGTACTTCAGTAAGTCAGTGAAGAGAGAAATGGGTCCAATTGTGACCCTCCATGTTAAGAATGATACTAGCAGAAGAAAAATAACCTCGCCTGAAAGGTCCCGTCTCTCATTCGGAGACAAGCTAAGGTCTCGGATTGAACGTCTTTCTCATGGCTTCATGCTATAAAAGTAAAGCGTGGATAAATCCAACTGTACGTATTTTTCTGAAATATTTCAATCAGTTCATAGTTTCGCGACTATTCTGATTCGGGATAGGTCTCGGGATTAAGACTTTAAATTCCTATCAAAGACAATACTGGAGATGATTGAACATATGCTCTCACTCCACATGTTCAGTTCTTGATGCCAAGCAATTTTACGTAGTTAAATGCATATATAAGAAGTAGCTATAGTTCAACACAAGGTCTGAAGCTTTTAAATGGAAATGACAAGTAATAAGAATGTATTTATGATAGTAGCCTAGGCTGTATTCAGAGATTCTGAATACCTCTGTTACACTTACACACTAGGGCTGTAAATAAAAGGATCTATTTATTCTATTCTTCTGCTTGTGCATATCTAAATGTGTTCAGTTGTTTAGACCAACATATGAAATTGTCCCATGGCATGGCTATATATGCAAATGCAAGTAATAAAAAGAGGAAATTACAATTTATCTTCAACTGTAAATAGCCATCTATAAAAACTATGGGGTTCCTATTTCAAGGCTGGAATATAATCACTATAATAGAAATAAAATTTGATTGGAGGAAATGGAGTAAGTCTATTTGATTTGTATATTTAATCTCCTTAGCCATATAGAGTGCAAGATCATGTGAAAGACGTCATATCTCTTAGCTGGCTGATTAAGTGTAAAATGTCTCCTCACAGCCTTTACTCCCTCCTTGAGCTTCCAATACTTGTCCTCTGGAATTGCACTAAGAATCTCTTTCAACCTAGGAATATCTGAAACATCCACCTGCACTGAAAATGCCTCCCATTGCAGCACATCACTAAAGGGCAACACAAAATTCTTAGACAGAATCACTGGAACGCATTCGGCATAAATTGCCTCCACAATTCTCGGGCTAGCCACTTCGTACCCACTCGGACAAAGGCAGAACTTGGAGTTGAGCATGAAGGAATAGTAGTCTTGGTCTTTGGGGAGGTACTCGTAGACACGAATGTCGTTGTCGTGGTTTTTCCAGTGATGGAGGAGGTAGGGGCGGATTGGACCATGCTCACCACCGGCGAAGAAGGCAAGATAGCGACGTGGGGGGTTGTCCGGTGGGGGTGAAAGGAGTTTAGGGGACATTTCACCTCCAAAAAGGTTGATTTCTGGTAAGGATACATCCTTTCGAGGTTGAAAGCCCTCTGAAGTATTGGCATTGCACAATACACGGATGGAAGTATTGTAGAGGAAAGGGTCGCCCTGTGATGCAAAAGGACCCTGCAGAAATTCAGAACAAAAAACTTGTTATTGAAATAAGTACGACTGGTCAATTTGGCGTGAAGGGCTGAAAGCGGGAATTTACAAGATGCATCACGCATGCAGCATGCCTATAGCTAGTGCAATGTAGTGATCACTTGATTCAATTATAGCCATGACATTAGCATTCTAAAATGAGAGTAAACGTGTAGAAACACAAGCGAAAGCACTAGTCTAATGAGTGCATTGAGAGGGTAAAGATTATGTGAAAAAGGGAATAGAACAAACCCAATCATGACAGGAAAGCATGAAGTGGTTGGCACCATGAGTTCTGTTCCAGAAGGGGTGCCTCGTAGATATCACTCTAACATAGTCAGAGACAAACTGCTTTATTGGACTCATGTCATGAGAGGCTGGAGTGTAGAGATACTTGACCATCCAAGTCACACTGAATGGCAAGAAGTAAACGTGAGCCACATTGGGATCGTTAGTCCTAAACCTCCCAACGCCTTGTTCCATCTCATGGAGGAACCTCCCTTCAATTGAGTATATGTCCTTGCACGGACCATCATGAACAATTGGTAGGTCACCATCTGGGTATACGTACACCTTGAATATTTTCTCCATCTCCATATAGCTCCTGTAATGATAATTTAAATATATTTTACACCCAAGATTTAATAATTGCTTTAGATCTTTGTGGTTAACAATGAATTAAATGACAGTAATTACTAATTGACCAGAATAAATTAATTGTTACTTTCTTTCTCCAAGAAATTTGAAATGTGTGAACTTTGACCTTTATTCTATAAAAATAGTATTATATTATCATCCTTTGCTGTGCACCGTAAAAAATAAAATATGCATAAAAGATTGATGCAACAAAATATATATATATATATATATCTCTGTGTGTGTGTGTAAATATCAAAAGAACTTTGTTTGGTTAGCGTATACTCTAATGGTTAGTTAAGGAATAAAGAATAAAAAATATTAGATATATAAAAAAATAAATTTTAACATTTTAAAATAAAAATATTTAATACTTTTTAAATTAATCTTATTTTTTGGCAGATAATGCTTTTTAATCTTTAACTTGTACTTGTTACTATGCTACGAAGATATACATGGTTAACAAATCCCATATCAAAATCAAACTCAACTGAATTTCTTCTAATGAAATTACAAACATTCTCCTATTGTGACTTCCAGTAATAATTGAGATTTGGGTACTTTTTCCTGTAGCGAAAGGGATTATTCAGGCAGTAAAGTAAATGAAAAGAAAAAAAAATATTTACACAACTTTTTATTTATTAATAACATAAGAGATACACACATTTTAATATATTCTCTCTTTTTTTCTTGAATAAGATAGTGTTAAAAAAATTCGTAAACAATAAGGTGTAAATATAATTTCTCATGAGAATTCAATATATTCTTGTACGTTGACTTTTTTTTAACTATTGTAGGATGAAGATGTGTAGTGTTGAATGTTATATATTATAGTCACATGGCATGCAAACAGGCGCAAGTAATTCATTTCAAAATAATAATGAAGATGACAACCGCCTTCAACAAAAAATATGAGCGAACGTTATTTTATTTTAATTGTTTTAATTACCCTAATCCAATTAAATGCTACCCAATAATTAATGGTTCATCCAATCATCCATTTAAGGTATTGATTTACTAGCAAGTATGGGGGAGCCAGGCATGATAGGAATGAATTGGTAATAAGCTTCCAATTTAATCACAACGCCAATATATATGATTCGATCGGAAAGTAACAAGCACCACTTGATGACCCCTTTGCAAGTAAGTTACCACTAGCACTTTTGAATTTTAGCAATGATCAAAAAGTTCATCCATAGCAAAGGTACTTTTTCCAGAAGTAGTATCACAAATCATCATAGGGATGAGTATGGAACAATATACTAGCGCACTCGGCACCCCCTTATCGTACACCAGAAGAAAGTATCAGTTATCGATCTTAAAAAAACAAACAAACAAACATCTCATTACGTGGCATAGAAATGTTGCGGTGGCCGTGACTTATAAGCAAAGTCAGTGAATAAATAATAATTATAATAATTATTTGTTGCTGATATTGTGGTTATATCTTCTGGTTCAGGTTTAGCTCAGGAAATAATAAGAGGTGGTGGGAGGAGTTACCGGTAAAATAAGCGGGGGTTACGATAGACAGCTCCGGCGGGGATGTAGTGGTCGTCTCCGCCGTCGTGTGCGGTGGTTGCCAGAGTGAGATTGCTTCTCTGAGCTTCTGAATCTGATTCTGATCCTGCCTTGCGCATTGAAGCTCTTGCTCCTGCGAGTCCTACTTCAAGTTTTCCTACATTCCTCTGTTAACTCAAATAAATCCATCATAAATAAATTCCGTTGATTCTCACATTAAAAATTCCACCAAATTAATGCCGATAATTGATGCAATAACATGTGCTGTTTAGAAACGTTCGGATACTCTTTGAAACAGGGGAAAGGAAAATTTAAAAAAAGAAAAAAAGAAAACAGAAAGCACTGAGTAGTTTTAGATTATCATAGTGGAACTTACAGTTGCAGTTCGGTTTCTGAATTTTTTCCGGTGAAGGACGCCGGCATTTCCGACAGCGAGGAGCTGATTCTCGCCAGAAAACTTTGTTCGGAGACGAACCAGTGGAGCGGAATATCCACGCTTAGAACCACCGAGTGTCACAAATTCAAGTAACTGACCTGGAAGCACCACGACGACGACGACGACGACGAACGAAACTAGAAACAGCGAGAAAATTGCAGTGAAGAAGTATCTACGTGGAATCTCCATTTTTTGCTGATCTGAGCTTAGAAAATAGAGTCAGGAGTGTTTGGTCTCTGAGAATCAGTTTTTTTCTCGAGAAAATGTGAGGAAGATGTGAAGAAGACGGTAACTGAGTTCAGAGAGTGAAAGTGAAGTGATGTAGATATATGAATGGAGGTAGCCGGCGCTGGATCTACTCGCAATAGCTGCATGAGTCACATGCCCCTCAGTTTTTTTAAATTTAAATAAATGATTGATCAAGTATTTAAAACATTAAACAGTTTCAATTTTTTTTAATTAATGTTTTGACTTTTTATCACCTTGTCATTTGCCAAAGAGCATTTTATTAATTAATAAATTATTAAATACTTATAATTACTAATAATTAAGAAATAAATTTTTTTATCTCAATATAATGATATTTTAAGTTAATATTTTATGAGAAGATATTTTTACTACAAAAAAAGAAATTCATTACCATATTTATCTAATAACAGTTGGATAAATATTTTTTCTCTTTTCAATATTTTTTCAATATTTTCTCTATGATCTAATAGTGATTAGATAGATATTGGATTTTTTTTATAGGAATAATATCTCACTCAAATTTTATATAGTTATTTTCTGAATTTGTCTTGTAATATCACTTTCCGGCAAATTCCAAAAATAAAATAAAATCTGGTAGTCTTGTAAAAGAAAATTAATGAAACGGTTAGTTCAAATTACAGAAATGACCTTAATAGTGTACGAGAGATACACGTTATCAGAACCGCGATACATGTTTGTTGCGAGGGGTGGTGCCAAAACTTCCTTTCCCGCCATGTCCAGAAACCGCGCTTTCTTTTTCGAAAAGAATTTTTTTTTCCGGTTTTTTCTATCTTTAACGGCAAAATCACCACATAAATTACATAATTAAATTGTCAAATAACTTATTCTTCTTTTGGGCTATCTTTTTATTTATTTTTTTGTATTACTTTTATTTCTTATATAACGAATGAAAGGATTAGGATATTTATATCTCTCATGGCTTCAAACGAATGAGAAGACAAAAAATGCACACACACAAAAATAAGACTATTGTTCTCCTGATTAGTTCTGAGAAGAAATTTGTACGCAATTTTAGTGAGTCATGAGGGTGGCAGCCTTAAATTAAGCCTCCTAAGCCACACAGAGTGCATTTAAAGATCATAAGGTTTAGCTGGCCTATGGAGCATAAAATGTCGTTGCACCTGAATCACTTTTCTTTGCTTCTCCAAATACTCCTCCACAGAAATTCCCTTTCAGAATTTCTTTGATACTTGGTATCTTTGAAACGGGAATGTGAACTGAAAATTGGGTCAAATCTAGAGACTCGTTAAATGGCAACACATAATGATCGGATATGATCACTGGGACACAACCTGCGTCTGGGGCTTGCAACTTCATATCCAATACACATATAGTACATTTTTGTCAGCACTAACCGGAAGGAAAAAAGCAATGGCCTCGTTGGGATCTTTAGCTAAAAATGGACTCTCTCCACTTTCTAGTTCATCCATGAATTGACCTTCAATCCAGTATGTCATTCATTGGCCCCTACTGAAAAATGTTGGAATTAATTTTGAATTAATTATTTTTATGATTAAGAAATTTAATTTGAAAAAAAGGTGTCTTTTCGTCGTCGAACGGATACGGATGTATCTTTTCGTGTCCAATTGATGTGTCTTTTTCGTGTCGAACGGATATGTTATTTCATCACGAATAGGTGGCTTTTAAATTGTAACTTTACATTTTCTATAAATATATACAGAATCAGAATTTTAAGATGGTTTAATTTTCATTGCATTTGTATTCTTCTACTCTAGTGCGGTTGGTCAGGCATAGTTTGAGTCCGATTGGGCTATTCTATCTCAGAAGACAATTGTCCGCAAAGAGAGGGCACCATAAAGAGGGCGATATTGTCTTTAAGAGTCAGTGTCTAACACTGGGCTCAGCTTTTTTCTTATTACAATTGCATATTTTTGTACGGCATACTTTAATTTTGAGTTATTGCATGTAGAAAGTGATTTCTCTAACACAGATTATCTCCTCTCAATCATTTTATCACAATTTTTTATAACAAAAAATGGATGGCTCTCCTTCCCTATAAACCCATATTCGGAACCTTTACTCCATCTCTTTGTGACTCCCACATATTGCATTGACAAAACAAATGCTTCAACAGAGACTGGAAGATTACTTCTTTAGACAACTAGTATACACTTTTAATGACTTGATTATAATTTTGAGAGTGGATGTGGAGGACCATGTCTAAGTCAACCCCTTAGTTATGGGGATATGGATACAGAGGAGGCTTTAAGAACATTGAATGAGCACATTCTACTTTATAGAGGTACAAAAAGAACTACGCAAATACTAATTAGAAGCTATATATATGTATGAATTTAATGAATCAATTTGGACGAAGCAGTACTATAGGTTGTAGACTGTAGGAGTTATAGACTGTCAATGTTGCACAAGAACTTCATTAATGCCCAAGGAGACTTAGACGGCTAGGCCATAAGTTTTACAAATGCACATTGGCCATGCTACACGCTCTGCACTTCCATCATCAAGCTAGCCATTCTAGAGGTACATTACAACCAATGATGATGTATGTAGGAAACCAAGTGCGGCCCTTGTACTATGGTAATGACTTGCTCAACTCTCTTCATTCAATTCTTGACTAAATTATAAATGGTTAATTATCAAGTTGGTTACCTATGATCTCTAGTTTGGGAAAACAAAAGCAAAGAACAATGGCTCTTCCATTGTTTGCACTTAGTTGTGCATTATATGTTAAACAAAATTAAAATAAATGACTTACTATTTAACATTCATAAAGTAAAATTGTGATGGAGCAAGAGTACTTAAAGTGGAATTAGAAGAGGAGGCGTACATGTGTGTAGGTGATGGTGATGGATGATGTAAGTGAGAGAGAGTATGAGAAAGATAAAAGGGTATAGTACAAATGAAGCTTTGCAAGGGAAGGAGCCATAAGCCATGCATGGCCTAGCTAATTAATTACCACTAACGATGGTAATCATGATAAGTGCAGGTCGAGTTAGAAAACTGAGTTTCGTCGAAAAACAAATCTTCTGATTATTTATTTGACGTGGAGATGGAGGATCACAAGCTTCTTCACAAAAACATCCCTATATAATCAAGTGCGCTTGACATGACGAGAGTATTTTGCTGAAGCTGAAGCAATGCACTACCCTGTTATAACAATGGCAAATTTCAGACAATTAATAAATTTTACCCACATGGACATGGTCACAAATATATGGAATTACAGTTTAAGATGAAGGTTTTTAGTAAAATACTACATGATATAGATGGAATTTTATGAGGTATATTCTTTTTAAAATGTTGAAAATATTCAAGTATGAGCAGCAGCGGAGTCTCACATCAATTAAATATGAATAAATAAGAAACAATATAACTGAGAAGGGAAAATTGAAAATAATTTATTTTAAAATACAGTCTACATATATGTATATATATATAGAGAGAGACATTGAGAACATGCAGGTCCGTTCAAAATAATCAAAACAAATCAAATTGAAATGAAACGCATATTTTTTTAACCAGTATCTAGAGCCAAACTGATTTTATAAACCAGTTCAAAAATCAAACTGAATAAAAGTATCAATTTGAAAAACTGGTTCGAAACCAATTTATAATTGATATGTATATCCGAACTGGTTCGAAAAAGGTTATAAATTGTTAACTAGTTCTAAATAGATGTGAAAAAATAAATAAAACAATACTGGTTAATAAAAAAACTATTCGGATGGAATCATATCCACCCTTACATCCAAATACGAAGAGGGAATATCGGTTCCAGAAACCCGCCGGCACCTTTTTAAATTTGTTGGGTCGTTTCTGTTTCATTCTGCATGCATAATGTGATATGCTTTCAGTTTTTTATTGCCTTTGTCACACTAATTAACTTCGTTTTTTTTTGGGGTGACACCATGTTTAGTTGATATTAATACTGTCAATGGTATAGTATAATAATGCCCTCTATTGAGAACTTTTGTTCGTTAACAAACTGAGAAACGATACTGTATAAGTGAATTTCATAAATGGCAGTTTGTCTATTTGTTTGTAGTATCTTAAACATGTTTTCTTGAGTTCAATCCTAGCTGTATTTTAGAAAATTACTCTTTGATCACCTGTCCGGCCGGCGGGGTATTTAGAAAAATTAAAAACTTGGGTTTAGTTACAAAGATCTTTTGAAATAAACATATAGAAGAATATGTTAGGTAAAGAACCAATTCAACCCAAAAGCTTAAACTAGTGGGTGATGACATTTTAATGGTTTTATATATCTCAACACGTCCCTGAGAGCCCATTAGGCTTGAAATGTGGACAATGCACAGACCCACTTACCTGTGTTAAGAAAGA